CACCTGTGATATTGCCAACCCCACTCGATCTCCAGTCACTCCTAGAAAAAATAATAAAGTTATAAGAGAACTTGCTTTCTTCATTTTACATAAACGAGTGTTGTCAATTGGACAATTTTGACAGAAAAAGCTACAAACCTTCATTTACAACCAGAAAAACATAAAGAACAACACCGATGAAAAGGAGTACTATCATATCCAACCATAATCCAAATGCATACGAAGTACCCAAAAACATGGTATATGCGCCCGTATTAAGATTTTGATGTCGTTCAAACTCTTCTCGCAAAATTGATTCGGCTTGAAATGCTCTGACTATTGATAAGCCTTTCAACGTTGCCAAAACGTGTGTGAATACAGGAGATTTTGCTAAAAGTAATAATAAAATTGAAATTTTGATAAAAAACTAACAATCAGATGCAATTCATTCAAAAACCATTTCAACTCACTTGATGCTTCTAATCGCACGACTTTTGTGGAACATTTCGAATAAATTTTTTGTATAAAAATGAAAAAAACTCCCAGAAAAAGTGCCACTACTGCGAATTTGACATCTGTAAAAATGATCACCGATATTGAACCGAATGCTATGAAAATGTATTCGGTTGCTTCCATTAGAGTTTTTGGAAGCATTTCATCAGCATTGCCCATGTCCTTCGTAAATCTATTCATAATACGACCCGCTGGATTCTCATTGAAAAACTGCATTTTCGTCGATATTAAACCGTGAAACATTGTATCGTGTAAACTCTGCGACGCCTTTGTACAAACTAGAGAGAAAAGAACTGACCGAAGAATAGCCGCAAATATCAAAGAGATAATAATTCCACTGTAGATGTAGATGTATGCTTCAGTAGACCATATATTTTGTCCATCATCTGTAGCTGCGTGATCTAATGAAGACTCTTTCGGTGTGGTCTGATGGAGTGATGTAGTATTTAATTTCAGTCGATTTTCCTCATTTTTAATCCTGTAAATGCAAAGCATAATATAGAGTAATATCCCATTTAAAGCCAAAATTCATTTACCATATTGAAACCCAAATATCGGCCATGCTAGCAATAATTTGAGTGATCAGAAATAATGCAGCTAGAAGTGGCACCGCGCATGAGATATTTGATGATTTTAAATATCTAAAAAGAAGAGAACCATTGATTTTTCCCTCTGACAATGTATTTGTCGACGATGGTTTTTTCCCTTCGACATTTTGAGTCGCTTCCAGCAGTGTTGTCCCTTCATCTAATGATGTACTTTTACTTCCTTCTTTTAAATCCGTGTCATTGCTTTCTATTGAATTTTCATCTTGACTCTCATTCTCAGCACGATCGTTCTCATTCTGGCTGAACATGGTGGCAAAGTCAAATCCGGAGTTCAAAATCTTATGATAGTTTCCTTGTGCATCAATCTTTCCCTGTAAATAAAACGACTTAATTCCAATACAATTGCATGTTAAATTTAATGTTTATGTAAATCTTACATCCTTTAAAACAACAATCCAGTCAGCTTCTTTCATGAAATGCAACTGATGTGTGATCAAAATGCGAGTGGCATTTTGTCGTGCCAAGTATCCATTTGGTCCGATACATTCGTTGAACAGATGCGATTGCACATGTGAATCCACAGCACTCAATGGGTCATCGATTAAGTAGATATCCGCTTTTCGATACATTGAGCGAGCCAAACTGAAAAATCGGAAATGACCTTGAAAACTTCAAAATTAATCATTCAAAATTGAATTGTTCTATACTTGATTCTTGCTTTTTGGCCACCAGAAAGTCCAGCTCCGTTTTCGCCAACCACCGTCGAGTCACTATTAGTGAATTGTTCGAAATCTTTGGCTAAAGCCGAGCATTTGATGACTTCGTCATATCGTGAGCGATTCATTGCCTGTCCAAATGTAATATTTTGACGAATTGTCGATGTAAAAGTCCAATTCATTTGACTTGCATATGAAACTGTGCCATTGATCCCCAATGAGCCTTGGATCAGTGGTAGTTCTCTCAGCAAAACTTGCATAAGCGTCGATTTGCCACTACCAACGGATCCGACGATGAACACCAATTTCCCCTTTGGCACTTCCAAATTAATATCTTGCAATTGAAATGGTTCGTATTTGCTTGTGTTTAATTCGATTTCACCTTTGTATTTATCAATCTTCAGTGACGTGTTTTGATCTTTAGGTGAATTCCATTTGACCGAAACTTTTTTCATCAAAATGGCTAGATGTCGTGATGTCAATTCATCTGAACCAATAGCATCTGATTCATTCGCCTTCTCATTTTCTTCATATTGAAGAAATTCTTGTATACGTTTAAGCGATACGTAAATTTCACCGACGTCAGATATACCATCAATAAATAATCCACACATTGTCTTGGAAATTAAATTCAGTAAATATGCAATTGTAAACATTTTGGGAATTGTCATTTTCTCCTTGTCGTATAACCAAACAAACGATAGAACCGTGCAGAAAAGCGTGACTCGGGATGCAATCAGGTAAATTGTAAATTTAAATGTTTTAATATTGAGACTTTTCAAAACCATCTTCAATTCGAAACGTCGAGTGGCTGCTATTAGTCCTTCAAAATTTCGTTCCCAGCAGTACATTTTGATCACTTGAATGCCAGATACGATCTCATCCATAAAACGAATACGTTCATCCGTTCGCAAAGCAGTCTCGAATCGAACTTTTGTCAACAATTTACCAGCGTAACCTGAGGATCAAAAGTTGATTTAAATTGAAGGTCTCAGCCCAAATTAATAAAAAATTACTTTGTATAGGTACGAATAGGAAGACAATAGCCATTCCAATAATAGAAGCCCATCGAATTTCTATCCATAAAATATATGCAGCCAAAAAGGATACTAAAGGCGATACCCATGATAGATGCACATTTAAAACACTGTTACATCGCTGAACATCATTTGACAGTAGGTTTACAAGTTTTCCAGGGGCGATGCTGCTTAGGGCACCTTGAGACAGATTAAGAGCCTGTTATAATTGGATGAGATTATTAGAAAACGAAAATTCAATTGAGTTAACACTAGAATGACGATTGTGAAAAGGCCAATCAATAGAGCTGGTCATATTGCATATATGTCACCATAGACGCAACTTTGGCAAAATAACTCTTCTACAAATTTTGGATTTTATGAATCTGTACTACGATATGGCAAACAAAAACCCGTTTTGCGGGAGCACTTCCTTATGAATAGTCCAATAAATGCGTTCAGAAATCACAATAATTACATACCTTTCGATAAATGATACTGGAAAGAGCCACACGAAATTTCATGCCGCAGCATAGACCTTGGAATAGGTAGTTATGCATGCCAACGCGATAAAAAAGAGTGTTCACAAAAAATACGATTCCGTAAATGAATGCATCATCTCGAGATATATTCGAATTTTCGCTTCAAATGATAAAGATTAAATTGTTCGTTTCATAAATTAAGAAGTGAATTACCAAAAATGAATGATAAAAATTACTAACCTAAAGTATGATAAGAGCTGTTTAAATAGAAATAGATATGTCAATCGGAAAATGCAATCAATAAATATGGAGAAAATGCCTATGATGAATAATTCACTCCAAAATGTTTTGAATAAAGCACGTAATAACGAAGGGCGTGTATTTTTCGTGCACTCGACATTCCAATTTCTGAAGTAGAAAACGTGAAAAATCATAAGAGTCTTTTTATACTTTTTCTTTCTTTTTGATACTTTTATTAGCTACGGGCCTTTTTGTTCAAACATATTATCACTTTAAATAGAAGAGAATTTATATTGAGATATGCAGATGAATACATAAAAAACCCTAGTTTATTCTTTATTGGTATAAGCTAACGTACTTTTCCAGTCGATCACCAAGTCTGTCGGATTGGTCTTCTGCAAGTGGTTCAAGTGCACTGGTCGGATCTAAGACACCATGATAACTGTTTCTAAAAATCGGAATTGTCCATCCAAAGAATATCACCGACATCAAATTTGCACCTTGTAGTGGATTTTTTAAAAGTTTTCTGTACGCAGATTCCATCGCTTTGGATTCAATCAATATTAAATAACAAAACAAAATACTCAACGCACCAAAAATGTGCGAAAAAACTGAGAATTACGGAGTAAAACATTAAATTTATGTAAACAACTGATTGATATTAAAATCACTGATTGTATTCAAATGAAATATTTAACTCATAACTTAATGCATTTACATTCAGAGATTAACAAACATTCTTATTTTGATTCAGTTGAAAAACTAAATCCAAATCATTGATCACTTGAAGATAGAAGCTGTCTATCTAACACGCGGCTTTTTCGTAATATTTTTTTGATAAACGTAATGAATATTTTAAATATACAGTATAATCTTGATTCTTCGGCATTCAAACAGTATTTTTTTATCATTTTTGCTATACAGTTTTAAAATGTAGATACTTTTGATGTAACTGTCTTTTTGTTATTCGTCAGGGAGTCGAATAATTCAGGTTCTACTATATAGTGAACATATACAGTTGTAAAACTAGTAATTTACACATGTAAAAAATACAACACGTGCCAATCTGTAGTAAACATGTTTCTATACATTGAAGAGCAAGACACACAGAATTCGAACAATAGTTATAAGCAGACAGAATTAATTATACATGTATATTGTGGAAACCTATACTAAGGCAGACTTGATATTTATCCTTATCTGTATTGATAGCGTTATCTGTATTGTTTATCGTTATTATCTGATTGTATAGTGTGAATTCATTAATCACATAAATGACATAGGAACTCAAAAGGATAAAATGCGAACTTACGCGGAACTGTGTGAAGATAGACGAAGACAGCACAAATTAAAAGTAAACCTTCAGTTGTATGCGTGCAAATTATTATGCGTAAACATGTTTCATCCAAGTCAACAGAGCCCTAGAGTTGTCATGAATTCGTACTTTATGGAATTTCAATGGTCTCACCTTCTTCATTTGTTCAAATCTGAATTCATTTACCCGTGCCGCAAAACCTTTGAATCTTCGAAAGTCGATTTTTTGAAAAAAATTGATTTTTCTTCCAAATTTGACCCGATTGTCGTTTGACTTCTATTTCTTTTGGTGTTTTCTGATAGAATTTACTTTTTTTTCTCATTTGAAATTATGATCGAGCACAAAAATTGGGCATTCAACGACTTCAAGGCTTCGAGAATCATGTGCTTTCGATTTTGGGCCATTTTCATTGGCATGTTGGTAGCAATGATATTAACATTCCTCGGTAGGTCGGTAGGATTTCTTGTCAAAATTCACCGAACTTTATCCAAATAACAAAGTGTTCGATAATGTGTCAATTTCGCCCAATATTTGACTACTTTTCATGTTTTGCAAATAGATATTTATGCTAAAATTGAGATTGATTTCAAGACATGCCAGTTCAACAAAAATGGTAAAATAAGAATCACTCATTCGTCGAGAGCTAAGATTTCATGAGGAAAAAATAAAAAAAAAACTTGAAAGAACCGCATTACGCCTGAATGTTGATAGCACATTATTCAAAGAAGGAAAAATGAATTTAAAGTGTTTCAGTAAATTTGATTGATGAAAAGAAAGCAATCACCATCAAATTCCCTTATTAGCGATAATCGTCGTGCGGTGTGAATATATTTAATAAAAATTGATAAAAATAAATTTGAATGGAAAAAAAGTTAACTTTTTCTAGGTTGAAAAAAAATGTCTATAAAAGCGGCGCAAATGATACGACAATCTAATTTGTAATTGACCGTTGAAAAGCACGCGATAGATTTTTTTGTTGGTCGTTTAATTAATTGAAGTAGTGAGCAAAAAATGGCAATGGAAGTGATTTCAAAACTGGTGTTTTACGTGTGTCATGTTGTGAAAGGATTATTCGAAATTGCTGTTGGAAAAGAAGAATTCATTTACGATGATAAAGGCAACATTATCTCAAAATTACCATCGAAGCGCAAGCAAGTTTTGGTGTTTGCCAGAAATTTTCTCAAGGAACCGGTAAGTTTTTTGGGTTTTGAAATGTTCTAATGGGTTTTTGAAATTACAATCAACTAACATTTCGCAATTGATTTGTCGGAATACATAAATAAATGAATAAATCAAAAAAACCGAAATGAACATATCAAATGCCCTATCGCATATATTAGACTGAATGTCAGTCGATTTTATTCGGTCGCCTTTTGAAGCTAAGTATCATGCGTGGCAACAAAAATCAGATTTATATACATTTCTACTTTTCCACTTTCTCACACATACTCTCTTTCTCTTTTTCATTCTTCTTTTCTTTCTTTTTCCTCTTATTTTTTTCATTCAATTTTGTAAATAGGTGATGTTGGGCTCCGCCTTCCCAAGCTCTCAATTTACAACCGATAAATTGTTGGCGCCGATTGATTTTAAAAATGCCACCTTAATCGTTGAATACGGTGCTGGTGTTGGTAATATTTCCATTGAAATTCTTCGGCGAATGCGTAAAGATGCGAAATTGTTGGTTTTTGAAATCAACGAAGATTTGATTGAATTCTTGAAAAGCGAATACCATGACGACCGTTTTATTGCAACCGATCGTTCAGCGGCCGACGTCGAGGATGTGCTGCGTGAACACAATTTGGGACAACCGGACTATGTCATTTCGGGCATTCCATTCTCAACAATGCCAAAAGAAATCGCCAAAAATATCATGAAAGCAACGAAATCGATTTTAAAACCCGGCGGCAAATTTTTAGTCTATCAATTCAGAAATAAAGTTCTCACATTTTTAACACCATATTTTAAACACATCGATCGTAATTATGAAATTGTTAATGTACCACCGATGAAACTATTTTTTGCTTATAATTAGGTCAAAGGACGGAACTTTGACTTTATTGTAGTTATCGTTTAAATAAGCTAAATAAATCGAATCGCCTGTTTTGTTTAAAAAAAATCAAACCTCTTTCATTTCAATTGATTTTTCGTCGAAAATTCTCAAAGAAATTTGACTATGATATTCTCAATTCTCAACATTGACTTTGACATTTTTAATTTCTATGCAATCGGATTACTTTCTGGGATGACTGTCTGTCTGTAAGTTTTGTTCTTGATTTTAAAAAATGAAGTAGCTATCAAATGTGAGAATCCAACAAAGACCACCTACTTTTGCTAGTAAAACACCGAAAACTATTTTTTCTTCGTAATAAAAGAAATGCGATTACATCAGCCGTTGAAAAACACAATCTGAATTGCGTCGAAGATCGTATTTTTTTAAAAGTCATTCCATCGTATTTTTTTCCTACGTAATTATATTTCTTCTTCGTCAAAAAAAACCGCAAAGTGTTTATCAGAGACATTTTGAAAAACAGTCGGCGGAAATATAACGAATTTATGAAAAACAGGCGATTGAACGCATAAAATTGAATTGACGCCAGCACTTTCATAATAAAAACAATTTTTGAAACTGATATTTTTTCTATAGGTCTTGATTTTTTTCATCAGCAACTGAACTCATGATTTTTTTTTATTCGCAGTATGTAATTGAGTGGTGGCGAAAAAAAACAAACTTTATCACAAAAAAATAACATCCGATCAAAAGTTCACCATTATAATTAGAAGGGAGAGCGAGTGAGATGTGTGTTACATCCACAGCATCGATATTTGAGAATAAAATAATAGAGTAAGCGTGTTAGATTTGGTGCGATTGAACAAACTAATGAATAGAGCGTAATGAAACAGAAAGCGGCTGTGCCGAATGTAATCAATTGATATCGGAAAGAAAACGAAAATAAACCACAGCGATGCCGTTGAGACTTATATACAGACACTTTCTTATCAATGAATTGTTAGAAATTTGAAAGAATGTGAAAAAAAACATTCGAGTGTCGCACGACTATCTAAAATATCGTCCGATGATTGATGTGAATGTTTGGGAACGTTACTTGTTGGGAAAGGCATGCGAAAGTGTGATTGTGATTTGCTAACGGCTGATGTGTCACGAGTTATAAGTTACGCTTTAGCAAGTGATACAGCAACGACTTGAAACAATCATGTGTTTTATGGAAACAAGGAACGAATGACATGATTACATGTTTATTTTAACTCACATACATTGAGTGTGTAACGTAAAGCACTTTTATTGTGACATTTTCTCGATTTTGCATTTAGAAAAACCAAGCCAAGTTGACTTGGATAGCAATTTTTGTGTTTTTTTCTCAAGCTAGGTGGATTTTCATTATTTTTTCGACCTCACAATCTCTGAGTTCGATATGTTTACCGAGGTGAATTTGTCTACTTAGCAATACATCCATTGTCATCCATAATTTCCGTCGGTCATTTTTACGGTCTCTTACATGGTAAATGAGTGCCTATTTCTCAAATATTTTTTTTGCTCAACAACTTTCCCATTTTTTTTTTTTGTTTTCTGGTTTTTATGATTTTTTTGGGTTCTTCATCGAGCTACGCAATCTTGTCAAGCCAAAACAACAACAAATAGAATCAATATTTATCAAATAATAATCATAGTTAGCTTATATCAAGTCTTTAATTGCCAATATTTACTGAATCGAGTGTTCTTCGCTACCCAAATAGACTGAAATCATGTAATTGAAACAAGAAATCATGGTTTGCTTTGAATGTGAATATAAAAATCAATCATTTTACTTCGAGCATTCAATTGAATCAGACGTTTTAAGAAAATCACAATATTTCACCATTGTGAATAAAAAAGATCAGAAAAAGCAAAAAAAATAATGCCGAAAACAAAGAAAGTTAGAGTTATTGAAACTGATTTGCACAAAGTTCGTGAGGCGATGAAGCGCAACAACAGTAGAAAATTGGACAAAGAATCGGTGAAGAAAATTGCCGCCGAACTGACCTATGATTTGCAAAGTTTGAAACATGAGCGTCATCTGCGCGGTAAAATGCTTGCTGCACTTAGATCGTGGCCCCGCGACAATGATTCATTGGCAACCAACGAAGCTGGTATGTAAAACAAATAATCTTTCGAATTTCTTTCGGCACATGAAAAAATTCGTTGCTATGATAACTTCGATTGAGTGTAGAACAAAACTCACATTTTTACGTATTTAAAATCTTTCATTCACCGCTAACTGTTTTTTTTTCTCTATTTGGACATTGTTTTAGCACGTCTCACGATGTAAAAGTCGCAGTAATTTTACTATGGACATGCAAAACATCAAATTCACCGAAGATACGAAAATACCACATTGGAAATTCAAAAAATGGCCAAAAACACGGAAACAAAAAATAAGCGAATTTGATTTGATTTGAAACTAAAAAGGAATGATTAGGGAAAAAAATGTAATATGAAAATAAAAATTTTACTTGGAAAATCAAACCAAAACCTCAATCTCTTAAAATTTTCGGAATTCAAAATTCAACTATTCCGCCGACAAATTAAACTAACCTAATTTGTTGGTTAGTTTGTGTAGATATAGATAGTTAGATTGTGGAATGTGTGAAAAAATTTACTTACCTTTGGCCTAAGGGTCTTGGAAGATTTTTTTTTTGGAAATTAACTATTGAAGCTTAGATTAACATATTATTTCTTTTATTCAGAGAGAAATTGCCAGTATAATCGCTAAAATGTATTTTTACACAACTCACCGCCCACACGCATGTTATTTCCATAAAACGTTCCATTCAAAAGTTGCAAATGCAGCTACTGTGAGTTCACACAACCGGACGCCTTAAGAATTGTCTGAATAAACAAAAGCACAATCTTACTCAATTCAGGTTTATTGATACGACTATCAAAACGAAAAATCGGTTGGTTTTCGATCCTCCTCGTGTGTTTGTTTTGAATTTCATACCTTTGTTTCAATTCTATGTTATTGATTTAGAACCGGTTTTACGTCACTTTTCGTGTTTTTATTCTGTTTTCTTACTATGTCTCCAAGTTGGCACATAAACATATAGTTGATTACTTCAAAAGCGGTTCTTGGAAGAAAAACAGGTGAACTGAACTTGAACTTTCAAACACGTTTCTCCTCTGTCTTTCTTTTTAATCGAAATTCCCGTTTGGAAATGAATACACGCAGAATGAAAAAAAGATGAAGTTGTATCTTTGTTCCGGAATTTATTCGTATAAATGACGAAAATAGTAGTTTCGAGAGTTCATTTTATTGTTATTTGATAATATATTATATTCAGATAACTAAAATACCATATGTTTGAGGTATTTAGCCAGTTTCGAGTAAAAAGAAAGGATGGCAAAAAAATTCAGTGCAAGAATAGTGCATTCACGACGAAAAATTGAATAAAAATTATCATAATTTTATTTTATAAAAAATGTATTAGAATATGTAAAATACAGAATATTTTAAAATATAAAAAAATGTGCTACTTTTGTGAAAAAAGAGATTTTCTTCTTTAGAAGTATTTTCCAGAGTATTGCTCAGCGCTGCTGCCATCCACAGCATATTAAAATATCTTGCTGAGAATGCGTCGTCCGTCGCATGCGAATGTACGTAGCAGTTCTCTTCACAGCGAACAAGACTGCATGCATTGTTCTCTTCACGATTATGTGACTCAATACATTCAAACGATTGTATGGAGAACAATGCATGTATTGTTGTGCGCTGTGATGTATGAACTGCTACGTACCTTCGCATGCGACAGACGTCGCATTCTCAGCAAGATATTTATATATGCTATGGATGGCAGCAGCGCTGAGCAATATTCTGGTAATTTCTTTCAATTGATCTCTTATGCGCCTGGCCAAACGATTTCTTCAATCCAG